ACTTGGTTGGAAGATGATACAAAGCTGGAAAAAGTGTGTCCTCTTAGTTTTGTTTTGCCTGTGCCGTACTGCACATTCCTTCCTTTCTTGTCCGTTTTTTTCCTGAATGAATTCTTATTTCCTTCCTTTTGTCCTTTTTAACTTCCTCGAAAATTTCTTTCCCTCTTTTGTCCTTTGTCTTTCCTTGTGTTTTCTTCCTCCCTTGTTTCCTTCATACCTCCAGCCCTTGAATCGTCTTTCTTTCTTCTTTGTGTCCCACTTTACGTCCTTCTTCTCTCATATTCTAATTTTATTCTTTCGGTGTTGTTTTTTCCCCCACTGCAAAAATATTCGGCATAAATTCAGGGTGAACCTTGGTATTATATTCGTTCCAATAAAGGCATAGGAACTCTTCGAAAGCTGAAGAGAAATTTGTCAGAAATTTTGAAAAACAGAAATGTGGAGATTACAACAAACTAAAGCCAACATTCACATTTATCTTCACTCAGTATTCACACATGAGTAAGAGAACAAGGGGAGCCCCCATGAAGGCTCTCCAGAGAGCACCAGGCAGCATCCCTCACATTGTGACACATGTGACACAAAGTGGGAGTATCAGTTCCACAGACCTGCTTAATACCAGTGTACTTCCTTCTCTTGAAGAGGTAGGCAGTTTTCATAGTTTTCAATAATTAGGTTAATTTCATATTCTAAATGGTTTCTTTCTTTCACCCTGTACAGGTAGAGGACGACTTGGGTTTAGGACCAAATGGCCCCCCGGTTGCTCCCCCAACCACTCTCTCTGTTGTTGCTTTTCCTAACTACAGGGAGCAACTTAAAGTTAATCAGACATGTTTCACCTTCCTGAATCCCTCTGAATGTGACGAGGATGATGAGAAGAAAGATCTAGAGGAATCCTCACATAAAAAAACTCCACAGGTCTTTTTTAATTTTTTTTCCCATCGGTATCCAAGACCTATTCAAGAAAAAAGTAAAGATAAAGATCCAACTGAAGGAACATTCATGTTATCAGTCATCTAAATTTTGATCATTCTAGTTTGTTTTGGCATTTGAAATTGTACATTCTGTGTGCTTAGGAAAGGGCCGCTAAACGTCACAAGGATTACAAGACCAAAGACAAAAAGGGCAAAGACACTCAAACACCCCCGAAAAAACATTTCAAGACGTTGAAATTGAAGAGTTCAGAGAGGTCCAATGCACTTTTATGCAGTTCCTCTTTTTCTATCCAGTCACTTCACAATTATTTAAGAGCAGTAGTTGTTCAGCTGTCTAATTGTGTTTGTGTAACTATGTGTAGTTTGACCACATATCGCTGGGTTGTACCTGCTGGCGGTGAGGTGCCTCTGAAGATCTGGTTCTACTCTGAATCACTCGGAGTTTTTGAACAGGTCTTCAACTTTGAGACAGTGGGGAGCCGCAAACTTTACCAACTCAAATGCAGAGGAATTTGCACCTATCCCTCCATCTCCACAGACTACCAGTCAGTATGCATTATTCAATCAAGTTGTGTGGGAAATTGAGGTTTTAATGATGCGTTGATTTAATTTCACTTCTCTGTACGCTGCTGCAAATGTTGTTAATTAGCTAATTGGGATTCTTTTTAATGTTTCAATCAATCAATCAATCAATCAATCAATCAATCAATCAATCACTTTGAATGGTACATCATTAATCTTTCCACAGGATTGTTTTTGCTCAGTCTAAGAAGGTACCACAAGAGAAAGAAGGCCTTCAGAAGACCTATGTAATCAAACCTGGTTACTTTGAGTTTGGGCCTTTACTTTGCAGCAAAACTAGAGACAGGTGAGAGACTGAACAGTTTCAAATAGGGTTGTTTCAGCTGATGTATTTTTAATGTCAGATTTCCATGATTGTCTTCAGGTATAAGAAAAACACATATCCAGAAAATTCTGAGAGGCTGGACATTTATAACGACTCTGGCATGGAGGCAGAGGTCGTGTTCAGTTTCCAACAAGACACTCAGGGCGCAACGTATCTGCTAGATCCCTCTACAATGACTCTCTCACCAGGACAGAAAGAAGTACTACTCAATGGAAATGATCTTAGTTGACTACATTAGATGATGCAACAAAAACACATGTATATGTAAATATTCTTTCTCTTCATCAGGTGCTGTCAGTCTATGCATATCCAACAAAACAGGGACAGATAAAAGACAGCATAATTTGTAATATCAAGGACAATCCTGAGCCTGTGACCATCCACATCTCTTGCTGGGGCGTCCGACCAGAACTCGAGCTGGACAGCACCCATTTAAACTTCGGCAAGATTCTGCTGCACAAGTATGTAAAGAAACACAAACCTCTTCCTGCCTCGTTATGCTTTCCCTTCAAAAAATATCATTCTGATGTATTTTAAAGAGGTTTTGAGAATTATTATTTTTTTCTTTTTACATTAACCTAAGTTTTAATTTGTTTAAAATGTGTTGGAACATTAATCTCATTGAAAAAAGGTACAGTACACCAGATTTTACCTCTGGTCTAGCTGCAGATCTTAACACAAAATTATAAATTAAAAATAAATTCATAACACACATAAACACAGTTAGTTGGTTTATATTACTCACATTTTCTCTACAACCTTTATTCAACATTTTTTGATGTTTGAACACATATGCAACCCAACATAAAGCTGTGCATAATTGCAATACATTCGTTATTAAAAATGTATCCAATATAAATCGATAAGTCCGGTTGAGAATTTGTATCCAGCCAAACTTTGTCAACACATTTTAGATGAAACTTTAATAACAATGTATGCTGCCAGTGAAGGGCCCTCTGAAAAAAGGCCCCCAACAACATAATACCATCAATGAGTTACACTGTGGGAATGGTGTGTTGAGGGTGGAGTGTCAGCTTTCTGCAAACACACTGGAGTTTCTGTTTTGGTCTAATTGAGCCTTGCTAGTGTCCCTCATGTGATTTATGTCCGTCTTACTTTCATGAGAAAATCCTGGGATACAGCACCTATAAAAAGTATTCTCCTGCTTGGATATTTATTCTTTTATTAGCAAATCGATCATGATCACCAAAATCTTTGCTTTTCACAAAAGAAAAAATACAGAAAAAAAAACATGTCAGAGTGAAAAACGGATTTATTCGAGATATTGACAATTGCATAAAAACATTTAATGTAAAATAAGTAGGTGCATATATGTTCACTTTAAAGTGACTGACCCAACTCAACAGAGTGTCAGCCAGTTAGTGCTAACAATCCCATAATGTGTGAAAGGGGGAAAGCTGAGCGGTGATTTACTTTTAGGTGATTGTAGCATAAACACACACGTGTCTCGAAGGCCCATCAACTGGTTAATCGCCATTTCTGGCTACCATTACTGCATGAAGACAAAATATTATTTTAAAAATAAGTGTAAGGGGATGAATACAAAAATATCTCCCAATAATTGTAAATCTAATCTATAAAGACAACTTTTTTTCTGTTGTGGGTTAGCAATTTTAAATTAACTATCCAAATTAGCTGTAGTATGATGATTTGAAAACAAATTGTCACTGTGATGAAGTCAAAACTGCATCTGCATACTCTGAACACTGCATTTTTTTCATCGCACTTTTTTTTTTCTTTTTCCTACAGGAAAGACAGTCGTGGCATCATGATGGTTAACAAGACTGTTTTGCCACTATCATGGATGCTTCAAGGCTTGGAAACCTTGGGTGACGAGTTTGTAGTGCTACAAGATCAAGGAGTCATCCAGCCAAACTCCTGTTGCCCTCTCTGTGTGGAGTTCAAGGCCAGGAAGCCAGTCGTTGTTAAGAAAATCTTGCGTCTCGAGGTAAAGTTGAAATTGCAGCTGGAGGTACCTCACTATGTTGATCTACTGTACTGCAATAGCTGAACACCATCTGTGCTCATAAATTGTCGTACACACATCAGGAGCATGACTATCAATATCCCGCTTGGACTTTTGATCATTTCTATAAAGTTCTCTTTTTCACCACATCAAATGATTATGTAAAATACAACTATAAAAAAATTGAAAACAGGAATTGAGTG